ATATATATATGTTTTTATTAGCTTTACTATTAAAAAAATAAGAAATGCAATATATTTATCTATTAGTATTTACTCCGTTTTATATATAAAAGTTTAGAAAGCGAACTTTGTCAAAATCTTGTCTTTCGTGAATCATCAGAAATATCAGTACAAATTTCAATGAAACTTTAATTTATAGCAGCAAAGTCCCAATTAGAAACTTCATAAATCATAAATTATTCAAAAGTGCCAAACTTCATTTAATATTAAATCTTATTGTTAAGAACAACAAAACTGAATTTTCTTCATACTGCAGAAAATAGCTTTAATTTTTTAATCTAAATTAAAAAAAAATCGTTTACATAGACATGGTAAAAACTTTTTTCCGATATTCTTTAAATTCTAAATTTTAGAATAATATATTTAAAGATTAAAAAAAGAAAATCTTAAAACAAAACAATATTTTTAGGATATTGCGAACAGCGTACAACAGCGTTTCTACCCTTTGTGTATATTACAAATATTTTCTTACATTATATCTATATCTACATCAAGCATATTTTATATTGTACGCCAAGCCGAGCATACGTTTATTAGTGCTCGCATGGCTCGTGGGAGCGGCACGGCGGTCCAATCCTACGCATTGCCGGGGTATTCCCGGCCATGTTAAGCGCATGCAAGAGCTCCGGCCGATACCATCTAACCCTGATCGGTCCTAACCCTGAAACCGGATCTCCCATGCGCTTTTAAACACGCTACTTTTCTCGATTTTTGCATCGCTACAGTTCGCGTAATTATACGCCTGCAATAGCATATAGGGACTGTTTTCCAGACGTGAATATAACGCTTGAGGGAATCTACTGTGAATTTTCTCTCTTAAAGAATGTTACCCTATATTTGGATGAAGATGGAAATAAATGGAAACAATTTACTATAAATTTTCGTTGACATGTATCATGTCTGCTAAATTGCGATGTTATTTTCTCATTAGATTTTTAAACATTGAAGGATTTAGATTTAGAGCGAAGTTAAGCTCCAAGCAATATGTGCTAATCTTATCATGTATTTCTCAAAATTACTATAAAATAACATTTTTGTGAGAATATTTTGATAAATTTATTTATATACAATGTATCCTCTTAATATCAATAAATATTGAAAAAACTTAGGCAAAGAATGTTTCTTAAGGAAATTCTATATGTTCGCCTCGTGCGAGCTCTCGATACTGGAATCGACAGTGAATTCCTTAAAGATATTCGGAATGGTTCTAACGATGAACGATTCGTGAAGTAAAACCGATCGACTCGACAACGTGATCTCTCTCTCTCTCTCTCTCTCTCTCTCTCTCTCTCCCTCCTCTCTCTCTCCTCTCTCTCTTTCTCTTTTCTTGCTAGTTTGTGATTCTCTCTTTCTCTCCTTGTCTCGACGGTGAATCGAGTCGTGGAGTCGAGTCGACTCGGTACGGTCGTGTGTTTCAGGCTGGCTGCCGGCTACCGCCGCCGTGAATCAATACCCGCATTGCGCGTGCCACCTCTCTTTCTCTCTCCCTTGCCCAGCCTCTATTACTCTGTATTTCTCTCTCTCTTTTTCTCGTTCTGCTTCTCGCTCGCTCTTCTCGAACTCTCAGTTACTCTTCATAGCTCTCACCTTTTCTTTCTCATTGCTTTCTTTTCTCCTTTCCTCTCTTTTCTTTTTTTTCCTTTCTCCTCTTTATCTCTCCTTTTCATTCTCTTCTTCACTTTTTTTTACTTTTTCTCCTTTTCCTTCATGCTCTTTCTTTTTTTCCTCATCTTCTCTCTTTTTTTCTATTGCTATCTCTTTTTTTCTACTTCTTTCTACTTACTTTTTTTTATTCTTTATTTCTTCTTCGTTATCGTTTTATCTTTCCTTCGGATCCAGCATCTTTTTCTCTTTGTATCTTCTTCAGATTTGATCGTCAGTTTTCTCTGCTTCTTTGTCTTCTCTATCAATCCATTTGTTTTTACATCTATAGTCTTCATGCTTTTCAAAG